GGTATGAGTAAACCAGACCTTTAAAGCAGACCTGGCTACTGCTTTTCTTAAAAGTGAGCTTATCAAAACCAACAAATGGGATTTGAATCACAAAAGTGGAAACTAGAAGAAGGTCGCTCTTTAAATAGACAATTCTTGGATCTTATGAGATTGGTTCAAGTGAAAGCAGTTGAGCACAAATCTCTCCGTTATCTTTTGTATGGGATAGGTCTTGCCCGTGGCACAGCAACTTATGCTGGCCTTCTGGCTTGCAGGGAGTTCGCGCTGTCCTTACTGCACACCTACGAAAGCCGCCTTGCTTCCAGCACCTCTGAGGTTTCATTATGTGTCTCCTCCCTCTTCTTGTCATGACTCTCCTTGTCTTGAGTGTTGTGGCTTTCCTCTTATGAAATGAATTTACAAGAAATTATGAAGTAAATGATCTACTGCAACAATAAGCATTTAAGAGCTGTGTGCTGCAACGTTGCTTCAGTGCTTCCTAGTGCGTGAATGATACAAATTTTCCCTCCTTAATTTTTAAACAGGCTCTTAATAGAATCTTGTATGAAAATTAAAGCAATCTGTAGCAGATGCTATGCTGTTGACTTCAGAAGAGTTTGGTCCATTTACATTAGCTGCCTGTATAGCCTAGCACTTATTAATAGCCACTGAATGGGTCAGTACATTCTACAGTCAGATTTGATCTCCCAAAATCAATTGTAGAGGAACTTGAGATTTTTGCTACTGTAGTTTTCTTTGAGGCATAAGCCTGCCAGATGTTATCTAAGCTGCCCATTATGTAGTAAGCTCTTGTACTTTTTTGGTATTCATTAATCCAGTCCTTCCTCTACATCTGTAATAAGAAAAACATCTGTTTCTTCTTGTTCAATCAAAGTGCCTACCTCAAGAGTACTATTTTTAAAATAATGCAATTTAAAAAAAGAAATCCTAGATAGGGAAATGCATTTCATTAGCATATTTAATTTGCATATGAAACCAGCTTTTCTGAAAGTCAGCAAAGAATTGGTAGTAGCAATATAGTTTCTCTTCAAGTTGGATGCCAGAAAGATACAGTAATGAAAAAGGAAGGCAAACAAATACACATCCCATCTCAGGTAAAAAAGATTAAACTTAAATGAGAAAGTATCTCTGTGAATTTGGGAGGTTCTGAACTCTAAGGCTTCAAACTGAAAACTCTTCTAATAGGAAGTATTAAATTCTATCCTTACTATTCAAGTTGGATTTACAGAATGATCTTGGTTAAGCTTGATCAAGTCTAAGCAGAAGTCATTTCTCAATATTCATGAGGCATGTAGTAAAATATTCCACTACCATAGGCCATGAAACTATACAAACTTATTCCCTATGGAAGGATATACTGTGTATCATAGTAGCAATGTTAAGAAGTTGGTGGAAACAGAGCAGTATCAAAATGGCAGTGTTGACTCTACTGCCCCTAGAAAATATACAAATAAAAAGTAGATTAAAAACTGCAGCAGAGAAAAGGATGTTCTCAGCTACACAGCTGGGGAGCACCCTTCGATAAACACTGAGGACAGGACTCACTAGGTGCAAATGAACTGCCCTCATTAGCATCCATAGCTAAAGGGCTACAGAACCGCTGGAAAAACATATCAGCAACAATACTGTAAGCATAAAATTACAACAGAGTATTTGTGGCAACTAGAGTCATAGCAGTTCAGAATGCCACTGTGATCCTAGAAAAATTCATCCGGGTGCTGAATACAGCAAGCTAGTCAGCAGATGGCCTTAGCTGGGGAACGTTCTGTAATCCGTAGAGTGAAGACTACTAAAACAGAGTGTGGTTGCTCAGGAAATGGCAGGAGTGATGAAGGTTTGCAGGGTCTAATATTTTTAGTACTGGCAAAATACCATCGCTTTTCCAATCATGCCCCTAGCAAGCAGCTTATGGACAACTATGTCTCCCATTAATATATTTTGCTAGGTGCTTGTATATGAGGAGAGGGCATGAAATTAGGCTTTGCTGGTAGCCTGTAGCTCTCCTCATGCTCTGATTTCTGTCCAGGGTGGCCGGCATCACTTCCACCACCCCCTTGCCTGTGTCCGGGTGTTTCCTTCATTCGTTGCACTGCCCACTTCCTCAGAGGGCTGTGGGCAAGCTGGCCTCGCTCCTCTTGCTACGTGCTCAGAGACTGTACTGAGGAGATTAGCTAGAGATAACTTTCCTTATACCAGCACATTGCGCACCACCCTCACCTGCTAATGCAGCAGCTAGCAATACCAAATTTTGTGCTATAATGAAATGTTTGGGGACTTTCAAAGTTGTGCACAAATCCGGGTCCAGTTGGACAAACAGTTTCAGATAGAAAGAAAAGCATAGAAGGATTCCAACTCACAGATTGGTTGTAATGGAAATGATGGCTCCTTTTTCCACAATATTCATTTTACATTATTCACTCAGAGAAAAATAGAACTGAGTTAAGTTCTCTCCTATTTTTATAACTCACTGTTGCTAAAAGAGGAAACTCAGCTTCCTGCGAAAGAGAATGAAGTATGCAGCAGTAAACAGTTATCTATTAGGAGAAGGAGCCAGTTCTATGGCTCTTTCATTTGCATGCATGTTTCAAGTTTCCATTTTAGTTATATTTGAAATATGTCATATAGAACGAACATGGGTCCTGTAAGACTAACACTCGTAGTGTTTATAAAACAGGCCAAAGTATGTAGTCAGAAAAGGCAAGCTAAAGTGTTTAACATCCTCTGAGATTTTCCACTTAAAGCACTTTACTCCTCTTACCATCAATTCATTGCCTTAGGAAGGACAATGATGGCAAACTAGGGCTTATTATGAGAAATACAGCTCAATTTAAAGGCATATTCATCTGTATTTTCATCACTTGTCTAAATATGTTCAGAAGACCCTGAATCAAACATAGGGAAGATTTTGGCCAGCAAGTTTTGGTCCTAAATCATTAGGTAATGTTTTCCATCAAAAACAATATATCAAAGACCACACAGCAGTGGCCTGAAAGTTTTCTACTGTGGACATTTTAGAGGAGAGAAATTTGCCGTGGGAATACATGAGATACATAGTAATGCTTACTTCACCAAAATCAAGCAGACAATGATGCAATTTCGGGTGCTTGAGGGATGCAGAGATTTTTAGAAGAATACTCTAGAGGCATCGTGTAATCTCTCTGGTTGCAAATTGCCAGGGTGCAAAGTGGCACAGCATCCACCACATTCGCTAATGCTTTTCTTGCCCAATACTCTGTTGTTTCTTCACTGAATATTCCCCCTTTCCAGAAAATGACAGACATTCCCCTCTGTGGACTCGGTGATGAGCAGCCTGTGCTGCCCTTTTCATGCCTTTTGTTTTAATCGCAGAGTTTTAATTTCATCCAGAAGTCTCTAATTATTGTTATTCAGTTCATGGCAGTAATGAATGCCTTGATGCAAACTGAAATAGATTTATTTAATGATAGGTCATCTCAAGCTTGAAATTTGTTTTTTAATTATGTTCTGATGAACTTTAGTTGTAGTAACGCTTACTACAGCAATTTTGGTTTGGAACACTATTAAAAAAGGTTCTTCCTCCTCCTTTTTCTTCTTGAATTATTTTAACTATAAAATAACTGATCTTATCTGGATTGAAATTTTGTGTTTTTCTGTTTCTTATTTGTTTGTTAAATTTAGTGAGAGTGAAAAACAAGGTCACGAACAGAAGGAAAACTTCCCTAATATTTTAAATATTAGATCTTTCTTTTATTATATTTAACACATTTTGGCAAAAACATTTCTTACTTATACATTCTTATTCATACAAAAAAAATCAAGCTCTAACATGCTCTGTGTTTTCTTGGGACTTGATCTTGTTTAGCCGAATGTGTGGAAGCAGTGGGAAAAGAATTTTCATTAAATGTGTAGGTGTAGCTGGTGATACTGATTGTCATGAATATTATTCATCAATCATAGAAGATAACATTGCTTTGAGGGTTTTGAAATTTCATCTTCCATTTTACTTTGGATATTGGTAGGATCCTTTTTTTTTTTTTTTTTTTTTTTTCCAGAAACCGCTTAATGCACGGGATTGCACTTTATTTTGGCAAATTTCCTTTTGCTAAAGTGGCTTAGCGCCAAAATGCAGACGGAGACAAATGTTACTTGTGAGAGCTGCTATAATGTGGAATTAGGTTTTACTGGAGAGTTTGCTGCGTGTTTGCTGATCCAAAGTAACCTACCTGCACAGTCATGATCATAAGTTAAGAACAAATCAGTTCTCTTTGCTGGTCTTAAATGCAAGCCTGACACGTGAGGCTGGCTCCAGCTGCTGCTGCAGACATGAAGTAAGTTCTTTTTCCTTAAAAAAGATCTGAACGAATGAACAGATCCAGATACTTCATTGCTGCCAGTGTAGGAAGGAAGGTGCTCCCCTAAGCTTCGAGTTTTTGGCAGACATTTGCTGGTTTTGCAGTGGCTCTACAATAATGTCTTCATCGGCCATGACTAGCCCCTTATGCCAAAGGCAGGATTAGCTGTGAATTAAGCTTCCATGTAAGCTCTTCTGCCTTCTCTTTTTCCTTTCCCCTCTTTTGGAAGCATCACCTTTGGATACAAGCAGCAATCACAAGCATAATATGCCCTGTAGGCTTGTTACTCATTATAATTAAATAGATGAATCAATATCTTTTCCTTTTGAACTTGGTTGTAGAAACAATTAAGGGACGTTCCTTATTAGTTAAATGTACAATATGGCCTTTTGATGGGTAAGGTGCATAAGATGCATTTTCAGAAATAATTATACCTGACTACTGGCCAGTTTGGTAGTTCCACAGCTTGTATTTATGATGATAATGTTAACTTTTATGTAGCAATTACCTTAATAATAACGTCTTGTTATCACATTGAAATTGTCATTTCTGCATGTTCATTAGACTTCATTAGGCCTTACCTAATGAGCTGGGAGAGATGCAATAAACACTTAAAGATAATAAATATTAGACTAAATAAAATGTTCCCGTGTTTTCTCTTCTTCGTAGGCTCTAGTCTCAATGATGGACAGTGGCATGAAGTCCGATTCCTAGCCAAGGAAAATTTTGCAGTCCTCACCATTGATGGAGATGAAGCTTCAGCTGTTCGAACAAACAGCCCTCTGCAAGTTAAGACGGGAGAGAAATATTTCTTTGGAGGTAAAAATATCAGTTCACAGTGTATTTCCCTTTTAATCTATGTAATAGATGATATAGAGCTCAGGATATAATTTATTTGGTGCATATGGATCTTAATACTTGGAGCTTCAAAATGCCTGTGTGCTGCTTGTCAAAATCTTTTTACCCCCTTGTCATCCTTAGAAAAAACAAACAGACAAAGAAAAACCTCAGAAATATTTTACAATAAGCATCTAACCTGGAAAGATTTCCCAAATCTTCTTTGGACAATTCAGAGATCATTTCCTAAACAGGAAATACCGTCCTGATATTAATAGTTTCCCTGAATGGCACTACAGAGAGAGATAAGCTTCTCTTTTCAAGTTTGGAATCATAAAGACAAAAAAAATTACTACTTTTACAGCCTTATACTGATTTTTAAGAGCTGTCATGATTGTTTGTTATTGACAGCTTCTGTGAATTAAAGCTTTAGTCTTCTCAGTATTGCAGGCCACTGGTAGTCCATCTACCAAAAAGGGTTCATGCAAATTATGCCTTGAGCATTTATTGTTCTTTCTCTGCTATGTTAGCTTTTATGAAAGGCCAACAAAAATCTTGATCTTTTAAAATTATTTTAAAAGCCTATTTAGCATGCCAGAAAATATTTCTAAGGCACTACTTTATAGGGGCAAGTTTTTAAAGATTTTTAAGCTGAAGTATAGAGTTATTTACTTATTTATTTATTCTCTTGCTAACCATGGTTTATAAAACATCTGATTGTTCAGGCAGGATTTTCAGCGAGGTCAAATGCTGAGGTCAGAAAGATTTTTAAACTATAGCTTTGAGTTGTTCATAAAGGTTCAGGACAGAGAATGAAAATTCTGAGATGATTTTTGAATAGAATTCATCACTGTTGAAAAATGATTATTTTAAACTTACAAGCTGCATAGCTAATCAAAATGTAAGTGCAGAACTATAAATAGTCATAGTATTACTGAAGTGACAAAAACGTTACTGCTTTATGATTAGAAGTGCCCCAAATAGAAAGTGAAAAAAATACTTCAAGGTTACTCTCATTTCATTACCTCCTATCTGTGGAATCAGAAAAATACATATGGAAATTAGTGTTTAAATAGTGTTACAAAGCTAATATATAGTTAATTAAGAATAGATTCTAATCCTTCAGATAGTGATGCCACACACTTCTAGGAAACTTGTACGCTTGTGGCAATGATGATAAAGCAGTCTAATACAAATATTACCAGTTTGAAGTCAACCTGTCACATAAGGTGAACTTCCCTATTGCTTCAATGTTCATCTTCTCCAGTATCCTTACTGAATTTAGCCCTCCTTGAGCATAGTGCCTTAAAAAGGAGCTCTAGCATAGGCAGTTACCAGCTGAAAATTATTTTCTCATCAAAATGTACTGCTTTTGATTTGTTGGAACAAGCTGAGTCTTTTTGCTAAAGTTATTAACATGCATAAAAGAAAACAAAAACAAAATGTTGTACAGCATACAACTAGTGTTAAACTTTTTATCTCTTCATTGGTAAAATACACACTTTCTGCATTTCTGGAGAGACATTGTTTGGGTTCTTCTCAAATAACTTTTACTGCTGATTTTTGGCTTGTTAAAAATAGATTTTTGAGATTCTCAAGGTGTTTTTTCTTTGCTTTCTCAGTCAAAATGCATTTTTACTTAGTGTCATTTTGGTTAGATTCTAAAATCTATTTTATTTATTGACTTGCACCTTATAATCCCACCATCCTTTTATAGAAGTGTTTGTGTAGACACTGTTCTAGGGGAATAGGAAAGTCAGTCATGAATACTCTGAAGTGTGTACACATCACATCTGATTACCAAAAAATATGGTCCCTTTGTGTAAGCTCTATGGGTTTATGTTTTTCCTTACTCTTTTTTTCTACTCTGAAGCTTTTCTACACATGTATCAAAAATTAGCCCCATTGTAAGTTTCACATCCCATTTTGTTTCCAAATAAGCAGTTTTTATTTGCAACATCGTGCTTCTGCATTTTAACTCTCCCTAATTGTGGATCTGAGGAAGCTTTGGAGCTAAGGTACTATTTAATGTAAAATGCAATATTTTATAATTATTCTAATATGCTACTGAGATGAATTTTGATTTATATATATATAATTTGTATGTATACTAAATGTAATATATATTATATACATAAAATGTATATATATTTGTGTGTTACATGTCTGTATAAGTGTGTACATACATGTATGCATATTATATATATTATATGCATGCATATATGTGAGAAATTGCTTGAAACAAAAAGCAATTCTGTTGGGTGCATGTTAGAAACTTGATTTTTGATACACAAGCTACATGAGACAAAGGTATTTTTATGCTTTTCCTTGTATATGTATGTGTTTCTCTCTGTTTTCCTGTATAAGCTTTTGAATTTGCGGCTGTTAGTAAAGATTGTTTGCAGATGGAGGATGTAGTGTTGAGAAGAGTTGAAAACTTCAGACTTTTGCACCGCTTCGTAATTGTCTACAGATGAAATGTTTCGATTTGATGAAATCTGTTTCAGATAACATGTCAAAACTATTTTACTTAAAATATGGACAATTGGTTAGGAAAGGGACAACCACTTTTTGAATTCAGGGGATGGAACATTTGTGTTTTGCAAAATGATGGATGGCTAACAAAAAGAATTATCAATTCTTTGGCCATAAATTTCCCATGTGAAAAGAAATGAAGTGATTTTCTTTGATTGAGTGATGAGTACGTTTAATAGTATGACTTAAACACTTCTAAATCCAAACATATATATCACACATGCAGAAGTTAAATGATGAGCTTTAAAGATAGTAGGGTTATATTCTCCCCATCCTGCTGTTGAATTTTTTGATTGTTCACCTGCAAAATCCTGAAAAAAGGCCCAGTCTGTTCAATTTATAATAGGAAGGTCTGTACAGCTTTTCCAGAAGTTTCTGAACGAATGCATTTGCCCTTCTATTTTCACTTTTTTTATGGTATTGTTGAAAGAGATGCTACAATATGCATAGGGTTTGGACTCCAAGCTTTTCCTGGTGGCATTTCAAAATAAGTATCTTTCTTTATATTGTGGTCTCTTGGTGACAATATAGCCAATATATAACACAGGCAATGGTAGGTTTAGAGGCTGTATTTCAGCAGTATAGTAGAACTATTTTTTCAAATATATATTGGAGAATTTAAACAGGAAAGTAATTAGAATAAAATGGATACTGCTTCCAAAGTAGGATAGATTTTTTTTTTCTTACCCAGTAAGGCAGACACTGTATAGACCATTTCTGTGAAAATTGTTAGAGCATTTACTGGAAAAGAAGTGCCACATTTTAATGTGATTTTTGGAGACAATGTGTACTTTCCATAAAAATTAGCCTTTTTATGTTTTGTTGTTATAATTTTGCCCTGGCAGTATCCCATATTAGTTTTATAATAAAATGGGCACTTTTTTAAAATTGGGAATGGATTGAAGGTTGAGTGGGAAAGAAGAACATTACAATGCCAAACATAATGATAAGATATTCCAAACAAATCAGGAAGATTACACTGACTTTCACACAGATAGCTTCTCAGCGGTATCTGAAAGAGTCGTTAATTTTACTCACGATGTTTTAATTAGAATTGATTTTGAGTCAATCCAATATAACTACCTAAATATTGGGAATGCGGAGATGCAAGATGGTCATGTATGTCTTCTTGGAATTAGAAATTTTGGCCGGGACAAGCCCTGTGGGGCAGACGCTCCCTCTGTGCACACAACTGGGTAAAGGAATGACAAGATGGCACTGTGTAGATGTTGCAGTGGGTGGCGAGTAGAACAGGTACCAAGTAGTTTGGGCGTGCAGTAGCGTACCAGGCATTCTTACTCAGCCTTCCTGCCTAGCACCAGTCTTTAGGTATTATTTTGATCAAAGTTGGCCTTTTCATGAAATTGTACCCGAGTGACATGCTCTAAACTTGTTTCTAAATGTTTTCTGGTTTATCCTCCTTTTTGTCCTTTTACTAGGATAGAAATGTTTGCCCTTGTCCACCAAGCCTGAATGCTTGCAATGGATGCAGCAGGTAGCATTTGAATAAAGGAGATTTGGAAATCAGATTCTCTTGTGAGTTGTGTCCCTAGAGCTAACTTTTCTGGTTGTGAAACATAGCAGGAAATCACAAGAAGATTCTTTATTTCTCTGTGGCAGAAAAAATTGTTCTCATTGTACATAGAGCTTTTCTTTTTTGCTTCCTCTGTGCCTTTCTGGTGCAGTCTCCTGGCACTGCTAAGTTCCCCTCAAGAGAAAGACGGCAATGATCTTTTATTCAAATCTATGAGTTAGGGGAAATTATATTAAAGATTAGGTACTTCTGTGTGTTTGTGCACTGCTGCATTTAGGAGGGTAGGTGCTAGGTGCCTTTTATCCTCTGCAGAAGGGTAGCTCTTCTTCTGTCCCTTTTCTTTTTTGTTCACTTCTCTTTTCATGGATTTTGGTTTTTGGAAACAAATGAACT